ACGATATCGTAACGTTTCCACTCGCTTGCGCGGAAGCGTTGCCGAGCTGGCTAACACTAGCTTCTCCCGCCCTCACATTCACCCTCCTCGTACGAGGTGAGAGATATACCTCCTAATGTGCTTTCCATTAGGGTCGGCGTCACAAGGATGTAACGGCGGATATACAGGATGATCGCATCATAGCAGGATAATGGTTATAACTACGAGCAATACGTACAGTAAAAGCTGATGTTCTCCGCAGTCATACCATGGTGAAACTGTGCGGACGCACATTCGTTTTATCTCTCGTTATGTTTTGATTTTATTCGTTACGTTATTTTTTTAAAGCACACGTACACTTTTTAGGAGCAAATAGTTATAAATGTTAAGTATCTCGTGAAAGAGGAGAAACAAAAATGGTAATAATAATAAACTAACTTATGTCAGTGCTAATGATACGTTTTCTTGTTTAACAAGTTATAAAACGACTTTTCACTTATTAAATATTCTTAACTTATATTTTATAATACAAACATCTCAGAGTATAGTATTGTGATTGGGATAAATAAAATGCAAAATTTGTATTTAATTCAAACTTTTGAAGTTGAAAAATTTTAATAAAGGTTTCTCTGCGTAAATTCGTACAACAGTGGCATTTCAGGAGAAAATCGTAACCATCCCAGTAACACATTTTAAGCCGATTTCAGAGGATCGCAACATTTACGAATACGCCACACCGACAACCGTATACTTCGCCATTCCTCCGCTTCTCAGCTGCCTTCCTCCACTCGCAGTTCGCGCACAATTTGAGTTTGAACACGCTTGAGTTTTGTTGTCTGTCTCATTTAAGCATGTTTACGACTCCATTATTTTCCGGGTTTTAGAGTAGGCAACGTTTCTTTTTCACTTTTCTCGTCGCATCGGATGAAAATGGAGAGAAATGTGTCATTGCGAGTATTTTTCGTTGCTATACTATGCGATTGTTAAGTTATATAAAAGTTTTCATGTTTGTTTTTATTGACGTTATAACGCAATTGAAATGCGTGTGTTTTTAAATGCGTATTCATTGAATTTACGCATATTTTTGAGCTAGTTAAATAAATGAAAAAAGATATATGTTTCTAAACATAATATCTCTGTACTCTTTTTTTCGTCGAATAAGGAATCTTACAGTTTTTTCAATAAAACCTTTATGATTACATGTATCATGTATTATATATATAATTAAATTCGGTGATATTTAAATCGAAATCATCTGATATTTCGCTAAAGAGAAAAAGCTGATTTTATAAAATCTGAACCAAAATCATATAATCTTTGCAATCAATTTAAATTATAAAGCAGAGGATTAGATTACGAGAAAAGAAATTGGATAAGCTTAATGAGAGATTAACTTGTTTGCAGAATTATTGGCAATTAGAATCCCTATATATATGTATATATACCTATATATATATATATATGAAAGAGCAATCGCGCTCGTCTTGTAGTTAAAACCACAATGTTATGCTTCTGAAATTCTAACAACGATATATTACTAGGAACTCAAATCCGCGTTCCATTGCAAGAGCGTCTCGTTGCAGGTGTACTAATTTACGTGGTTAATATGTTACATATGTTCAAATAATCCTCGCAATAATAGCATTTACAGAGATTTCGTCTTTAATTTATTTTTAGTATTTATTACTATACAGGAATTTTCAGTCAATTTCTTAAGAATTTAGTAATAATTATAACCCGCTATTATAAATTTTTGCTGTTCACGAAGATTTTCAAATTAAAAGCAGCGGAGTTAATTAAAATTTTCTCTCGTTATCTTTATATCATCGTTATAATCAAGACGTTATTATGTATGTGATATGATGTGTGTGTGTGTATGTGTGTGTGTGTGTGTGTGTGTGTGTGTGTGTGTGTGCGTGCGCGTGCGGATGTGTTTTTTTACGTAAAACACTATCTTTTGCCCCGAAATTGTTTGCATTTTGTTATTAATTTGCCGCCTACGCCTGCGCTTACAAGGAATTATTATTTTATTACCGGCATAAAGATTAGGCGAAATTAGCCGAGATGATTTAGGACGCGATCGTGAGATCTCTTCCATCTCGTGTTGAGCTCTCTCGTACAGCTGCGAGTGGATAGAGATATTCTGTGTTTAATCTTGTTTTAATCCTTGGCTTCCCGATGAATGTACAGTTGGGATTAATGCTTGTGAAAATATCGCTGCGATTACACTTATATTATGGCGGCTCGTAAACAGAAGTATGGCGCTCGATAGCCGGTTCCGAGAACATTGAATACAAAGGTAGAAATTACGCTGCTGCAGCTATACCCACTATTCGCACGTGAACGACATCACGATGTACCGAGAGATAGATATTCAACAAAAAGTATAGCAATTAAAAAAGAGATTAACGAGAAAAATGAAACAGTAAAATAGGGTAAACTTCAGATCAGAATATACGATACAGGTCAAAATGTCGCGCGTAGGTTTGCCGATATGTGGAAGGAAAGAATGTGGGAAGATACGAACGGAAATTTCTCTCTCTTTCTCTCTTGCTCTCTTTCTCTGTTCGAGCGAGATATGTGCATGTGAAAACATAGGGAGGATGCAAAAACTCGTACATCACGTGTTATCGCTTCTTTTAGGAGTCCAACCGGACGCAAATCAAAGCCGTTCGATTTATACTCTACAGCTGAGTATCCAGCTCGATTACAACGGATTTGTTCTCTTTAGCTACATTTTTTGCCTGCCTTCAAAGTTTGATCATGCAATTGTTTTGTTTTAGGTCAAGTGTACAAAGTTATAATAAAGATTGGAAATCCAATATCAGTAATTTAATGGATTATCCTGTTCTTTTAAACATACCATATATTAAATTTTCTTTTGAATACATTTTCTTTTATAGGCGCTCATTCGTACATGCGAATATACGTGTATATGTAAAATAATTTACATATATCATATTGCTAGTACGGAGAAATCTGAAAGAAGTTTAGCATATCAAAAATTACAAAACTGCAACTAAAATATTTAAAGAGTAAAAGAAAGAAGAAAATCTTTATACTTAATTTAATATCTGTCTTTTTATTCCGAACAAAAGGCGTCTATTTTTGCTTGCCAATAATTTCTCATGAGCGTCTCCTTATTATCTCTAACGAAATCGTCGCGACGGTGCAAATCGGGAGCGTTCCTGCAGAGACGGAACGAGAAAGGACGAAGTGTCGCCGTTCCTTCCCGCTTGATAACTCTTCCCTCGACTCGTTCGCGCCTTCCGAACTTTTCCGACCTGTTCGATCGACCTTTCCCTTCTCCCATGGCGTTTGGTATTCGCTCTCGGCCGTTTAATATTTCTCTCTTTTCGCCTGATTCCACATTGGTACCCTCGTCGTAGATTGCGCGACGTCTCCCTTCTCCGCTCTTTTCGCTCGATTTCACGGTTGCCGCGACACGGAAGAAAATCGGCGTCGCGGCGCACACCGATAAGACGCCAACGACGATTGTGATGTCTATGGTGCATTGAAACGGATCGAAGGAAAAAGGAACAAGCAATGATTCTCCGATTCCAAGATTCTGGGAACACATTGAATTCTTTAAACTTCAGTGTTTTGCATTTTTAGATCCTTAAAAAATTCTCAGAATTGTTGATTCTTTAGATTTTACAATATTTGAATTTCCGAATATCGGAGCTCTCGAAAGATCACGCATCAACTTTACTATTTAATCCATTAGTAATTATATGTAGTAACGCGTAACTATCTGTTTAGTTACTAAAAAAACGTCTTTGTTCTTTAAGTAGTTTTAAGTAGAAATATGCTGATCCGGTAAAAACAATTGTGTCTGCTCCGTGTACAACATTTTCGTTTCCATATAAAATACACTAGACTAGTTCAACGGTTGCTACGTAGAGTTTTTTAATCTGCCGGATAAACTTTCCGATCGGATGTCGTTCGTCGGTTGAGAGCGACTTCGTCGAGAGAATTTCCGGTCCCTCCTTGTACGTGGGATGTATCTCCTTATGCCGCTACTTACGCGAACTTTTCCGGGGCTTTAAGGAGGCCGAGGACGAAGTTTGATCCTTCCTTCACCGAGAGAAAGAGGCAGGAAGTCGTTTAAGATTAATGTGCTCTTCTTACGTTGTTCCTCTACGACTTCAACGCGATTGCGATCCTAACAAGAGACAAACTGGCAAGTTTTGATTTCAATGAAACTCTTGGAAAATATGTAGAATAGAGAGAGCTTGTTAGTAGAAAAATAGTGGTAAGATGTTATGATGTATATATCATAAGGTATTTTATATTAATTATAACATTATAATATTTTTTATAATATATATTTATAAAAACGTACAGGATCTTGTTTTCTTTCATATATACTTCTCTTATCTATGTATATTATTAGCACAACTGTAACTGATAAAAAATGTAACTGATAAAAATTTTAGTCATAGATCTCGTTTTTCTTTTCTTTTCTTTTTGATGTACGAGTGCCGTCATCTAAAGCGAAAGAATATCGACGTACTTTTTTTCATACACGTCACGAACAAGCTAAACGTCAATTGTACAATAACGTAATTGTAGCCGAATGTCTCGTTCCACTTGACATCACGCTGCAGATATAAAACGAAGACTACGATTACAACGTCGTCTTTTCCGTAATATTGAATTTTTTTGGTCTTCAATTCTTCTCTTTATCTTATCAATTGCTAAAGTATTTTCATAATTAATTAATAATTCTTCACGCATATTGGGTAATTAATAGCATTACATGTACCTCTTTTCTGTAACTTTTCAATTGTCTGTCTTCTTGCAGCTGCGCCTAACTTAAAGTTTTCCAAGTTCTGAAGAGCTTGGAGAGCTTTAATTGCTGAACTTTCAAATTTTTAATTCTGGACTATTAAAATTCTTTTTTGGTAATTATTAAAAACAGCATGTTTATTTTCTTGTACATAAAGTTTCCCTCGTCGGTTATGAAAAACTGAATGTTTATATTATAAATAACATAAATATGTTGCGTGTACTTGCAGAACGGACGAGCCAGTAGTGAGAGCAGCGAAGACGGAGCCGGAAGTAGTGCAAGCACTTCGCGAGGAGCCGGGAGTGGATTCGGTCTTGCCGCTGGATGCACCGGCGGATGGCGCAGTGTCTTTGGTGCAGTTTCAGGCCGGGAACTTAGATTGTATGAGTGTGCGCCTTGGAGTCCAGAAGCTTGGGCTTCGCCGAGCATTACCTGCCCCCTTATCGCAACACGGTAAGTCTTATACAGTGTTTACAATTTTCAACAAATGCTTAGTTATTTCTTAAATTCTCTTCTTATAACAAGTGAAAAAAAATAGCCGAGCTTTTGATTTTTCCTATATATATTAAAAGTAAAACAAGGTAAGCTGTTGTAAATAATCGATGAAGATTATTACGATATAATTTAATTAACCGAAAGTACGCAAGCATTTCTAGAATATCTTAACATTCGTCTCAATATCTGCCTTTCGCACATGTTTGTTCCTATAGTCGGTATTCGTTCACTTACGGACCAAAGTCGCGTAACAATCCGCCATCGGCGTCATTAACACGACGATTCACGTATCGCACGGACCCCCATATCGACTACGGTCGAGAAAGCGAGAACGTGCTTACGAGCGAAACGAGCCACGTATCGCGTCGTCAAACGAGTACTACGACCGCGTCACGTTGTAGCACGTACGTCTCGTCGATTTCACGTCGGCGTGGCGTGAGACTGCCATCGTACGGGTTGCTGGGAAATTAAGCGTAAAAAATTCACCAACATCGCGTGCGAGAAAGTAGCTCTATATGACGAGCATCTCCCGATGGAGCACAATGTAACAACTATAAATACTAAGCTTCCCACATCATGTCATACATGGACTAAAAATTCTGTCTGCATAGTGAAGTCAGAAATGGACACAAGAGAGATAGTTTTGTGGTCTTGATAATTTTTTCACTTTATCTCATAACAAAAAAAATGTCGCTTCATCATCTGTCGTTAGCGCCGTTAATATATCTAAGATATCATACATTTATAAAGTATTAAGCAGTTAAACATTTATTTATATTTTTTTATTTAGCTGAATATATCATTTGATCGTGCTTTTGTATTGCGCTCTTAATAGACAATAGAATTTAAAATCGATGATATAAAATATCAAGTCATTGATATAAAATCAACGTGAGTAAAAATAACACTAATAAACTGCTAATGCGTAATTTGTCTTTTATATTAATGGGTAAAGACAAATTGTATAGCTGAAGATGATCATTATTAATGAATAAAACGTTCTGAAATTTATTTTAATAAAAGGATTGTCTGCGCACCGACATTGGTAATTTGGCTCGCATTGGCCGTGTTTACATTCACGTGGCTTTCAATATCCTACAGATGTAGGATTTATCTCTGAATTTTTCAAAAAATTTTATTCGCAGATTTGTTCTTAACACACATGGACATTAGAATATGAGTTTTTTGACGAAGTTTTTGCACGTACTTGTAAATTAAAATCTTTGAAAAGTGTTATATGTGTATATATTTAGAAGGTTTCTGTCGTACTAAAATT